CACACACACACACACACAAACACACACGCACACACACACAAGTGCACACACGCCCACGCGCACACACACATACATAGACACACACACACACACATACACACACACGTGCATGCACACATGCACGCACACATACATAGACACACACACAAATGCCCACACACACCCAACACACACACACACAAACACCCATGCACACACTCACACACACTTACACGCACACACACACACGTGCACACATGCCCGCGCGCGCGCACACATACATAGACACGCACACACACACTCACGCACACACGCACACATACATTGACACACACAAATGCCCACACACACCCAACACACACACACACAAACACCCATGCACACACACACGCGCACACACACACACATGCACACATGCCTGCGCGCACACACACACACAAACGCCCACACACACCCAACACACACACGCACAAACACCCATGCACACACTCACACACACACAAACACGCACACACACCACATACCCAACACACACACACACACACACACACATACACACACACACACACACCCGCGCGCGCGCACACACACACACCCCCATGCACACACACACACCATACACACACACACACATATATATATATATATACACACACTCACAAATACAACAGCCACTTCAACTGTAATCCTTTGATAGTTTGAAGAATATTTTGCAGTACACAGTCACATTGTTGCTTTTAATGCACCTTCCCACAAACAAAATCAACTAAGTAGACATTACCCAAACTGTCGTGCAGAATACTAGAACATGCAGAGCAACAGATCAGACCTTTCTTCTTCATGGTGCACTCTGCAGAACAGATAAATCCCCTCACTCGTTACTGAAAGGGGCAACTAAATTTCACCACTTTTGAGTCCGACAGAAAAATATTCGACGGAAACATCCTCTGGCAACCAGAAAATCCTTTTCCTTTTCACTTTCACTGGGCTTGTGAGTGTTAAACAGTCCACTCAAATGTTTCAACCTTTCTGTTCTCCCGTCACACGCCTTTTACTGGACAGTGGTTGGATGGTGGGAGGGGGAGAGGTTGATGATAATGACTGAAGTCAAGTGGCTGTTGCCATGCCAACCTATAAACAGACGCATTTCCTTTGTAAAAACTGTCATTTGTCATTTACCTCTGCAGTCGCTCTCATTCACGTAAATGGTACTCTCTTCCCATCTCCCCCCCACCCACCCTGCCTCACTTCTTTGTACTGCAGGCATTTTCGATATGCAGTCAGATAAAATGTATTTCTCATCTTTGCAGCTCTTTACTACTGAGGCCAAATTAGGAATAAATTGATTACCTGGGGGCCGAGCCTCAAAGAAAATAACATCGGATTTAAATAACCTATTCAGAAAACCGGTAGGTTCAGACTAGGACAAGACAATCCAAGTTTGGAGCATCCCCCTGCGACAGTGCTTAATTTTATTTCTTGTACATCTTCCTGAATGTTAGTTTATTATGGCTTACCCTACTCCATCAGTCTGCCTGCCACTACACTTCCTGCTGGCATACAGCCCTTTAAAGCAAGGATTTTTCACAACTCTTTTTCACACCAGAAGAAATAAAAAAATCGAAACAATTTCAGTTTCCAGTCACACCTTTACTTTGCGAACTGCAATGAGAACTTTTTTTTCTGCCCAATTTGTCCATAGCATGTCGTGTTCTCTTGAGTTTGTTTCCGCTTTGCTGGATACACCTCGCTAAGTGGGCAATACTCAAACAAGAGGGTGGGAGCAATCACAGTGAGCCACATTTTCCCTACTCACCATCCAAAGACGAAAGTTCTGCAGAAGGCTGCAGACTTTGTGCCCTGCAGGCTGTGATGGACAGATTTGTAAACAGCGAGGGGATAAGGAAAAGGCAGAAGAGTGGAGTTCAGGGTCAGCTGTGAAGTCATTGAATGGCAGAGCGATCTCGATGGGCTGAATGGCTATTTCTGCTCCTACGTCTTATGAATGGCATTCACTGCAACGGTTAAGAGCAAGGGCCTTGGGCTTCTTCCTTTTTCTTCTTAATTCAGGGAACTGAGGCTGGTTTGTCATGATCCTGCTACGAATCCAACTGAAAGCAGTTCACAGCAGGCCAAGCAGCATCATAGGAGCAGAGAGGCTGACGTTTCGGGCCTAGACCCTTCATCAGAAAAGGGGGAGGGGAAGGGGGTTTTGAAATAAATAGGGAGAGAGTGGGAGGCGGATAGAAGAGGGATAGAGGAGAGGATAGGTGGAGAGGAAACAAACAGGTCGAAGAGGCGGGGATGGGGCCAGGAAAGGTGAGTGTAGGTAGGGAGTTAGGAAGGGGATAGGTCAGTCCAGGGAGGACGGACAGGTCAAGGGGGCGGGATGAGGTTGGTCGGTAGGAGATGGAGGTGCGGCTTGAGGTGGGAGGAGGGGATAGGTGGGAGGAAGAACAGGTTAGGGAGGCAGGGACGAGCTGGACTGGTTTTGGGATGCGGTGGGGGGAGGGGAGATTTTGAAACTTGTGAAATCCACATTGATACCATTGGGCTGCAGGGTTCCCATGCGGAATATGAGTTGCTGTTCCTGCAACCTTCGGGTGGCATCGTTGTGGCACTGCAGGAGGCCCAGGATGGACATGTCGTCTGAGGAATGGGAGGGGGAGTTGAAATGGTTCGCGACTGGGAGATGCAGTTGTTTGTTGCGAACCGAGCGTAGGTGTTCTGCAAAGCGGTCCCCGAGTCTCCGCTTGGTTTCCCCGATGTAGAGGAAGCCACACCGGGTACAGCGGATGCAGTATACCACATTGGCAGATGTGCAGGTGAACATCTGCTTGATGTGGAAAGTCTTCTTGGGGCCTGGGATGGGGGTGAGGGAGGAGGTATGGGGGCAGGTGTAGCACTTCCTGCGGTTGCAGGGAAAAGTGCCGGGTGTGGTGGAGCTGGAGGGGAGTGTGGAGCGGACAAGGGAGTCACGGAGAGAGTTGTCCCTCCGGAAAGCAGATAAAGGTGGGGAGGGAAAGATGTCTTTGGTGGTGGGGTCGGATTGCAGATGGCGGAAGTGTCGGAGGATGATGCGTTGGATCCGGAGGTTGGTGGGGTGGTACGTGAGGACGAGGGGGATTCTTTTTTGGTTTTTATTGCGTGGACGGGGTGTGAGTTGTCCTCGTTTTTCAAGGACCGTAACTTTCCCTCCTCGGTGGTCGAGAACGCCCTCAACCGTGTCTCCCACATCTCCCGCACCTCATCCCTCACACCCCGTCCACGCAATAA